CTGTAAACTGATATATGGCAGGGGGAAATGGCCTGGCCAGGCAACTGTAGCTGCTGCGAGTGCCATATGCATAATGTCCCGTTAGTTAAATGTATCATAATCTGTGGCTTGACAAGAAAGTGCTTGTTGGCTGATTAAATTCTGTGCTCTGATAGTTAATAAATCTGCAATAATTGGGCATTTAAATGCATTAAATGGACAACCACACATTAATCTAAAATCATAGTCTTGGTATCTTTACCAGGAATTCTTTTGTTGCCACAGCTTGGAGTTTGTTGGCAGTGGAATTCCTACTACAGATAAGGTACTATGGCAGAGTGATGTAGCTGAATAACATTTTTCATATCAGTCTACAGTTTCTGATCATTTTTAATTTTTATTCAACACCAAGAGAAATTCAAACTTTAGTTACTACTTAAACCTATTTATCAAGGTACACAGGTAATAATTTTAATGTAAACACAACAATAGAAAACACATTTAATTACATTTACACCCGTAAATAAACAACGATAAAGGAGCGATCTCTCCTTGATATCTATTTATTGCAACTAAGACACAGAGGTACACTGAGTGCAACCAGCATGAAGCCACCACACCGCTCTGAGGTTAAAGTTCCTAATGGCGGGCCTGGATCAGGTATCACCGGACAGAGACCCGAATCAGCCTCCACACATCCCCACATAAAGTCTGTCTGGCCTCACAGCAGGGTGTCAGGGTGTTTTTTGACTGTGAAGCCCAACTCATAAGGGCAACCACCAGTCCCTGCAGGCTAAATACTTCACCAGAGGAGGTTTGTGGGTGCAGATGAAGGCAACAAGAGGTCCAGGCAGCTGTGAAGTAGCTGGCCTTGGGAGACTTGCACGTAAACCAACATGGAAAGTGATGGAGGGCACCAAGCTACATTATAGTGTAAATATAGTACAGTGTAAAAGGCTGGTTTTGAGCTGGGGGAGCACACTGAGACTTTGTTCTTGCAACAGAACTCTGCTCTTTGGTTTAGTGCTTTCATAGCAGTTTGGATCTGATGAATCTTAGTAAACTATTTAACATTCTCTCAAACTGTCTTCTTATTGTATTGATGAAATGTGTATTGCTGGTACATATCACTATCATTAGTTCAGCCAGGCCTATAATGTATGATTCATTTAACCATCCACTACAAGTTGTATCACTAAAGTTTGCTGATAGTCATGCTGCAATTATTGAACAACAGCTAAAAGTGTTGGATAATCCAATAATCCAATGACCTTTGAAACAGAAAGGCCCAGCCACCACTATATGCAAAGCTATCTCAGTTTTGAACTATTTGAGATGTGCTTGATGTATTTTTCAGCACAATCCTCAGCATGGTTAAGTCAATAAAACGAGTATCAATTTCATCATTTGCATAGAATGTGGTGAAGTTCGTCAACAGGCGAAGGCTGTGTTAGTAAGAGTTGGCAGCTCTTAAAATGATGTGAAAGTGTAGGCTCATGGAGGAAATGATGTCACTGTCATGGACATGCTGAATGGCTGACTCACCCCTCTTCTCAGAAGAATGAAGTCATGCGTCTCTCCCACATCCATCCCTGTTTCTATCTCACAGTCTATCCTGCTTGCTCCATTAAGGGGTTATGGTACATGAGAGAGCAGTGTTGTACCAGAGGTCTGATGGACCATAGCACTGATATAAACCACGTGAGGCTCACATAGGCTGCACTTGATGACACAGAGATTATGAGCGCTTTCAAACAGACGTTGCTGTTGGAGTTGCTGAATAGTTGAGGGGTGATCAGTACTGTGTTGTCCTCAAAGAGAAAGTCTTTTGATCTCACTGAAGCAGAGAAAGTGTCTGGATACTGTACAGGCTTTTGGGCCATCTATTGTTCTTTTTCTCCTCTTCTATCTGTCCTCTCCGTCCACGTACTCGCCCTGCCCTCTTTCTCACTATCTCCCCCATCACGTCATCTAGCTGTGGGCTGCTAGTAACCATAGAAACCAGCCGGTTTGCTCTCCTTCTGTCGAAATTAGTATACATTAGTTCCTCTTTTTCCCCTATTTTCTTCCTTTTTCCTCGCAGTCGTTGGGGACTTTGCATATTGAAAACAGGGCATTGGTGTTTGTTTTGTTTGTTTGGCAAATCCAGAGTGAAGCGGGAGTTGGGGGAGTGGTGGGTCTTCTGTGTGGTTGACTGATTTCAGCACTGTGGATCTCTAGTATTGTCCACTGCCTTTCAGCTGTGTGTATATAAATATTAGCACCATTTTGTTCACTTTTTTGCTGCCTGACTTTGCTAGTTCATGCAAATGGCATGGTTGTGTGGGTTCTGTTGTTTTTACATGATGTAAAAACACTTTGAATATGATTCGCTATCATCACCTTGCCACCTTGGAGCAACATAGATAAAACTCTTCACCATGTGATTAACAGATTGTAGACAGTTGGTTATGAAACTGACTTTTGTGACTTGTAGCTGGTACTGGGAGCCAGCTTGTATTCTTCCTAATATTCTGTACTCTGATACGTTGTATTTTTGTTTGGTGGTGGAAGCACATAGGCTTGTAAGCACACACACCACATCAAAGCTTCCTTTGTACTTCTGCTTCCTTCACCTGCTTACATACTTTCTCAGACATGCTAGCACACCTCGGCCCTCCTTGCTAGTTTTCTAGACTTGCGGCAGGCTGTCAGAAGAGTAGATAACCTCCTGCTAACCTTGAGCTGTAATAAGGTCTGCTCCTGTTGTCATGGGGATTCAGGTGGGCAGAGGGAGAAGGGGGTTTCAGTGCTCAACGCTGACCGTGAGGGCGCAGGGGGCACAGGCTGGGCTGACAGATTGTACCCCCCACCCCCTTCATATTGGCACCTCAAAGCACTGCCTGCCTGACAGCTTGTCTGGCGTCTCCTGGCATTAATGGTGTGCACAAACACTGGAAGGCCAAGAAAATATTGTATTACTGTTTGAGGAACAGAACATTTTTATCAGGTACTCTTGAGTTCATTTTCTTTGTTTGTATTCTTAAAGTAATTATTCTGCAATTTAATATCAGTTCTTTAATAAGTTTAGCCTTTACTAGAAAATAGGCCTTTCTAGACAGTCACAAAGAAATACAATGTCAACATTGATACTGTCAAAATAATCAGTGTTCACAAGGCTTGTTTAGTCATGAAAACTTTCTTGAATACTTGCAAAAGAGATATAAAAAAAAGTATGACCAAAATCAAAGCAGCAGAGGCCACATTATGGGCCAAACTCTGGAGCCTGAAAACCACAACACAGTTTTTACAAATCAAGCAATAGTGCTAATTTTTGTAGTTTCCTGTTATGAGTGAGTTTAAATGAGTGTTTGTATCTAATGCAGCTTAATTAGAATTTGTGTCTTATCCACATATGGGACATACATGTAAACACTGAAGGTCCAGCTGTGGAGCTTTAGTGTGGAAGATTACTTCAACCATGCTAGCCAGGTTAGCACAACCTAATTGTTGGGACATGTGGTATTTCTCTGTGAATTAAAGGAACATTAATAGATACTGCCCTTGTTTTTCCTATTTGCATACTGCAACTCCATTACTGTGTGTTCATTGTGAACCATATTGCAGTAAAGATGTAAATTGACTTTGCCAATATGCTTAAATAGATGATTATGATAGTGTAGACATTGCCAATATAGGACATGTCAGTATTCAATATCACTAAAAAGAATATTTTACCAGTATCAGTATGTATCCCCAGGCTGCAAACATACACTGAGTGATGACTTTATTAGCCAAAATTAAATCAATTGAATTGTGGAAGACAATAATTTTGTAAAGTAATAATTTAGTTAAACTGAAAGTTGACTTTTGATTATATTGAATTACTCCCAGTCCTCAATCAAAGTCTTGTCTCACTCTACTGAAAATAGCAGAGTTATTAGAGTTCAAAAACTGTAGTCGCACTAAGTGTAACATCTTGGTGGGGAAAAAAAGGAGTAAAATAAATATTTCACTTTTCTGCAACCTCATGCAAACCTAATTAGACAGAGTATAAAAGCCTGAACTGTTGAGACTAACTGACTTGAACCTCATTAATAGCTCTTGGTAAATTGAACTGCTGCTGAGGCTGCAGTCGTAAACCAGTCCTTTATGCATGTATGTATGTGAATGTGTGTGTTATATGTATGTGTGATAGAGATTTGTGGGTTTCCCTAATGGCAGCTTAGGAGACAAAAACGGGAAGAGTGAAGGTAGCTTCCTCTCTCCTCGCTTTCAGCCCTGCCTGTCTAGTCTATTGTGTGTCCTATCTGGCCATCTCTCTTCACATATTTGAAATAGTGGGACTGTTATTCACTGCTGCTACCTTCCCCACCACCTTTGTGTCGGCTCACTGAAAGGTCTGGTATCCTTGAGTATCCGCTTGTGTTTGTCTGTAAACTTAAGCCTGGAAAGGACATGCTTTGGAGCAAAGTATCAGTAGCCAGAAGCTTATAGAGTTCACAGGGATTATTCTCTTTTTCTCTGTGTGTATGTGGGTGATGGTGGGATGTATACTGCCTCTCATTTTCCCCATATCTACACCATGGGGAGTCGTCCATTCCCATTATTTGCCCACAGCAACAAGAGCTCATTATAAAAGCTTGACAGATGTGTTCTCAATTTGTGTCAAATGGGCAGACTCAGCTCTGTGTGTGTGTGTGTGTGTGTGTGTGTGTGTGTGTGTGTGTGTGTGTGCATGCATGTGTGTGTGTGTGAGAGAGAGAGTCATTGTATATTGTTGTAGATGGTGCTAACTGTTTGGACTGCATTTATGCATGCAAAGCATTTTTATTATATAGTGTGATAACATTCTGAATGTGTGAAAAGCATGTTAAATTTGCAGCTTTGTCTGACACTTTTCCTGAACTTGCTCATTTTCTGTCTTTGTTTTACGGTGTTGAATACAGCTCTATTACGCACAATGTTTCTCGAGGAATTTTAACCACTATCTTGTCTGCTAATCAGGAGAACTAATTATGGTTTCTCTTTGTCTGTTTCAGAAATCGAGCGATAGCTGATTATCTACGTTCCAATGGATATGAAGAAGCATATTCCACTTTCAAGAAGGAGGCGGAATTAGATAATGTGAGTAGATTAAGGGTGGACACATGCATCTGCACAGCCAATCAGACCAATTTATACAAATAATATGCCTTGATTTCCACTTTATTTCTCATTTTTGTCAACATGTTCACAAGTGTGACCGGGAGCACCTGCACCCAATTAGGATGCTCTGTCTGATTAGGGGGTCTGTGCTGCATGCTTGTGCTAACTGATCTTGAGAGGAGCTTTCATTCACCTGTAAATATTGCATTTTTGGTGCCATGTGGTATATATATATATATATCCCTTTCTTATTTTTTTACATTATTGCCTTTGCTTTTAAATGTAATGAGAATCAGTTGGGGCTAAATACCGTTAAAAATGCTCAGTGGCCACTCTGATAGGCACAACTGTACAATACAACACAATTCAGTAGAGCTGTTATGTCACTGAGTCTACTTGTATGCTGCCTGTAATCTTCAATTTACTGTCATGGGGTGTTAGTTACTTTTTTGTCTTTTAGAAATAGATGTAATGTTCATAACAAAGTGACCACTGAGTGTATTTTCCTCCTCCTTTTCTGCATGGCACCAAAATATAGCAGCATTCTGTTTTGTTTTCAGCCCCACTTAATACTACATCTGAGCCATGTTTTTCTCATTTGTCTTTTTGTCATGTTTTTGCTCATGTTATTCTGAGGGGTGTTTCTGTTATTTATCCTACCCTTAATGATTTAAAGTCAATTGTGGTGTGTGAAATAATAGAAATACAGCACAGTTAAATCAACTGAAACTGTGTCCGTAAATCCTACGTTCATAAAGATTATAATGTTGCAACAAACTCTGTTTCTAAAACTGGATTTGTTTGCTTCTGAAGTTTGAGGAGCTCCAGAGCTCACTGTTCCTCATGTTTGTCTTCTTACTACTTATTATCTGGAACCCTTTTCATCTGAGTCAGTTTTTCATCTCACTATTCCTTCTTCTGCTTCTTGTAGTATCTTTCTTTCACCTTACCTTCACGTGATACCTCTCCCCTGCCTCCTCAGTGTCTTTATGCGTTCTTCTCCCAGTCGTTCTCCATGTGGCAGCCCTTTGGAAGCAGGCTGAATAATAGATGAATGGCACAGAGGGATCGGTGCACCCTGTTGGGTATTAGTACTCAGGCACACACACTTTCGCACGACCGTGCTAAACAGCCAAGTGATTTTAAGCACCATTTTCCTAAGACCACATTGTGAGGCATTCTTTATCCATGCTTTTCATGTCTGTTAAACGTGGTTTCATTTTGTTCATTGTGAATTAAATGCTCTTCACCTTAGTTCTTTGTGGCGATTAGAGTAGTGGTGCCAGGCTGTGTGTGCTAGTAGAAATAATTAATAGAGGTCATGCTCTAGTTTTTTTCTTGCCTTGTGAAAGAAAATGTACATACCTGCATGCACAGACAAACACACACATATGTGCATGTTTATTACCCACTGCCAATAGGCTGGCAGGCTGCAATGGAGTCTGGCACTTGTCATTTCGTGTGCATGTCTGTGTGTCTTTGTGTGTGTTGGTGTCCAGGCAGATGGCAGATTAGATGATTGCAGATTTGTCCAAACTGGGTTCCCTGCTCTCCTTCTTTCTCCTCTATTTCTCTACAGCGCCTCAGTACATGTCTTTGTCTTTTTTCTTTTTTTCCTCCCCAACACCTTGTGTTATTCAGAGGAATCACCTCTTGTCATTCAGAAGTGTTAAATATAGGCATTGGTATTGCCTGCAACTCTCCACACCTCAAGGATGTCTGCTTTGTTTCCAGCCGAGGCTGAGGAGGTAGCTGTGAAATTGGAGCGCAACGCTAATTTTCTCCCTCACTGACACCCATGGCTGTCTGTCAATGTGGGTTTTTGATGCTTTGATAGCTAGTAGCACCCTTGAGGCATGGATATACGGTGGCACCAGAACCGTTGTATTGTGTGTTAAAATAAGGTTAAACAAGGCAATACTTCATCATCTTGTGTGTTTTTTCTCTGTGTGTTTAATCAGATTACATGAAAATATTTATAGGAAAAAGAAAACGGTCCCTTTCAACATTTTAAATTGTTACTCTTGAGTTATTGTGGTATTTTTAAACAATATCAGTCAGATTCAGAGACCTTAATTAATTACCTAAAGAAGTAGCTAATTCAAGTTTTTTTAAATTCATTAATTTATTTTTTGACAAATGATGAATCTTTACTTTAGGCTTGGTTATGGACATATTTTGCGATTTTCTGACATGTAGTAGACTAAAGTGTTTAAAATTTGTAAAAATAATTGCTAGTTTTATATTTCGTTTCTAAGTAGCGATGGAGAAAACATGCCACTGCATTGTTTTATGTTTTTTCTTGGCAGCAAGAAACAGATTGTGCCATGAAGTCCGTTATGTAAAAGGCAGTGGCCAGCTCAAGGCATTAGCCTGCAGGTGGAATCGGGCTTCTGTCTGCCAGGACTGCCACAAGTTAACTTCCACCGCTGCCTCCTGTACCGGCTGTGTGGCTGTAAGCTGCCTAAGCCTTTCTTGTCTGCAGGAGATTAGCTTGCGTGAGAAGGATTAGGACTAGGGTGTGTGTTCATGTGTGTATAGTATGTATGTGTGTTGTACAGTAGGTTGGCACTGTCTGGCAGTCAGTGTTGGCCTGTGAGGGGTGTGTAAATAATTCCTTGTTCTTTCTTACTATAAGCAAAGACCTCAACATGCCACCCCAGCTGGCCCCCCTCCCACAGGCCTCACCGATTATGCTGAGCCCACGACTTTGATTGGCTTTTTTTGCTTGTTTGGCTGATATCCCCCCCTCTTTCTCCACAGAATGAAGAATTGGATAAGAAGTATGCTGGCCTTTTGGAAAAAAAATGGACCTCAGTCATCAGATTACAAAAGAAGGTTTGTGAGTTTTCTCCTGCTCAAAGAATGCTTGTGGGGATTGTAGTCTTGTGAACGGTTCGTGACATTACTGCTGAATCCACTGTTAACACCAAACGGAAGTCTACCAAGTAAAGCATTCACCCAGCTGTTTAATAATTTGTTTAAAAGACAGACTTCAACAAACATTACAGCATTAAAAGTTTCTTATGAAACTTTATATCCCCTCCCCTGTTGTAATGATCTACAAAAATGCATATTTCTTTCCACTCACCAACTTGCACCTGTGCGCTCTGGGCAGGTGATGGAACTTGAATCCAAACTGAATGAAGCTAAAGAGGAAATCACCCTGGGTGGGCCCGTAAGTCAGAAGCGTGACCCCAAAGAGTGGATCCCACGCCCTCCAGAAAGGTACGCGCTGAGTGGCCACCGCAGTCCAGTCACCCGTGTCATCTTCCACCCAGTCTTCAGCGTCATGGTGTCGGCTTCTGAGGACGCAACAATAAAGGTCAGTGCTGCTCTGTGGTGGAAATGGTGCTCTGACAAATAGGCCTGTAAAACTTACATACCTGATCTTTTTAATTGGGAAGGACATCTCAGCTATTTTGTACTGCAGAGAGCTCAGAGTCAGCAGGTTTTTAAACAAAAGCTGCAGCAGGTGATTTCACTGATAAGTTTGTCTTTTGGCTGAAGGTTTGCAAATCAGCAAAACTGTTCCTGAAAGCTTTAATGAAGGTATGTGGGGTTGGTTGTTTCCAGTTTAACCGAACTGTGTACTCTGTGTGTACATTATGTTTCTCAGTATGCCTGTCTCTACATGTGACTGTTTCCAAATCCACAGTTGGTATTTGAGGCATTAATAACTAAAAAGGCACTCAGAGCACCTAGACCTCTGCCAAGGCCAATGCTCTATCTCAGAACTTTGAAAGAAAATGATCTGGATCCCCACCAAAATTGAATGGGTTCTTCCTTTGACAATGGCCTATCTCTCCACCAAGTTTCATGAAAATCTGCAGATTTTGCATAATCCTGAAAACAAGCAAACTGCAATTACATATTACCTCCACTAAGGTTCCACCTTGATGGCAGATGCATTAAACATTTAGATTTTTCCAAGATAAAAGCAGCCTCTATGTCTGATTGACATCTTTGGGTTTAAGATGTTCAATATCAATTAATTTCAATTATTAGGCATCATAATAAATGCACTATTTTATAATTAAGCAAGTTTGTCACTTAATACATTATCAGACATTAATGAGAACAGTATTGATGTCAGACTAAGTTCAGCAGATGTCGTCATTTGTTGCACAGCTGGATTTTAAGCAGATGTCATCATGCCGTGCACAGCTGGATTTTAAATTAGGTTATACAAAATGTTTAACTGGTGAAGATAAAGATGTTTATGGTAGATAGACTGGTGTGAGCACCCTGTTGATGGCTACGTAGAGAAAGTGCTGTTGTTGTACACAGTCAGTTCTGACTGTTTTAAGTATTTCTACAGACCCATTATTCAGTGTGTGATTCCTTCCATTCCCAGCTTGCACAGATGGCACAGCTGCCGTTCAGTATGGGTAATATTTGAATATGCTAATGTTTTCATTTACAGTGTTTGGACTAAAGCAGGCATTTATGCTTGTGAGAAATGTTCAAACATACTGTCTGGTTTTAAAGAAAAAAAAGACATCATGAACATTTCTGTGATTTTGGAGCTTCTTTATATACACCTTGAGACATATACGGTGTTGATTAAGGTAATGAAAGCACATTGTCCTGCTTGAGAGATTGCAGTGACCTTTTGTTTGTTTTTTACACATCCTCCCCACACTAAAATAATATGATTCTGGTTTGAAATTGACAAAGTGGTCTTTTAAATTTTGTGCCAGGTTGGTTTGCAGCTCTACCACACAGTTTCTGATCGATCTGCTGAATGTTGCTCCTCGCCCCTCGTTATTTCCATTACGCTTCACTTCCCTTAGCATTTCCACCACTCCTGTGATTCTCCTTCCTAGCTACGCCCTAAGATACACAAGGATCTTTGTCTCTGTGTCATGTATGTATCCCTAGATGCTTTATATAAACTCCATGGTCTGTCTCTGAGCTATTTCTGCTGCAGTGTCTCTCCACTGCTTCACTGCACAATGCCAATACTCCACTGAGCTGTTTGTTATGTATATTTTATTCATGAGACAATAAGAGACACTTGTACATCTCCCCCCTTGGCTACACCCCCACAGCAGGGATCCCTCTCTCCGTTTTGGCATCTTCTTCCTTTTCCAGCCACACCCCTCCCTCCCTCTGCAGCCCCGCCTCTCAGCATCCTGCCTCATTTGTCTTCCACTTAAAGCATTAGCTGCCCCACCATGACTACCCACCACCAGCTATCCATTCCCCTGGAGCAGTCAGGCTACTGCCCAAATCTAAAATTCAGCCACGCTTTCTTGCAAATCTTCACCCGGTTGCTTCGTCTCTCTGCGTCTTGACCTGACTCCCTCTGTGTCCTAGTTTTCTTCTCTTCAAGAGCTCTGTTGAATTTTTAACCAGGGAGTAGACCTTGTGCTTTTTACGTAGAGAAGCACAGACTAAGAAGCTCGGTTTTCCACCTGATGCCAGTGAGGCTGCCTGGCCTGATAATCAGATTGAACTCCCTGTCTGTCAATATGTAGGAGCTGATAAATACTTAGCTTAGGTTAGCTGAGCATGAAGACTTGAGAGAGGCAGAAAACGACTCTCAGCTTAGTCCAAATGTAACAAGGTTGCCTACGAGTATCGCTAAAGCTCACTTATTAACACGTCTTTTTGTTTATTCTGTCCAGAAAACAAAATCTAAAAGTAATCATTTTCCAGCTTAGACAGCTTTTGTGTTTCTGTAAGTCAGCTTGCATCAACCTGTACATCTATGTCAGTCTCATCTGTGCTTGCCACCCTATAGTAGCTCCTCACCTTAAAAATGTATGCAGCTACATGTATAGCGAGTAATACAAGAAGATGAGGACCCATGGAAACAGTCACAGTAGCAAGAACAGAGAACAAAGGTGCAGAGTAAAATCACAATGCAGTCCAAACAACTCTTGACATATTGACCACATGTGGTTCAAAAACAAGGAAATGCTTCAACCTCATAACTTTGTCTTTAAACTTCCTGTCTTTACTGGAAAAAGGGATGTGTTGCATTGTGTGAAGTGAGATTGGTTGATTGTGATCATCTTGTACCTGCATTTTAGTAATATCTGACTAGTTTCATACAACAATGTACAGTTTAAAGGACTAGCAGAGCTACTATCAGCTGTTATTTAGCATGGCTAGAGTTGGATTCCTCTGTACAACATTGGAATCAGTTATTGTATTTGCACTGTATGATAAAAATGTGTCAGTATTTGTGTTTTTAATGTGTGCTGAGAACAGCATGATATCACTGAGGTTGTCTGAAGGTGTTTTTTTTTAAATTTAGAATAGGTGTTCATGTTATATTGTTTTTTTAATGAAAATAATAAAGTGATTAACAATAACTTGTATCATTGTACTGAAAAGTTAAGCACTAATGCTCCTGAAGCTTTCCACTGTAGAAACATCAAACTATGACTAATTGCTACAGTAGCAACAGCTACTTCATGTAGCCGGAAGCTGGTAAACACAAGGTAACATTGCACCAATTCTATTTATTTTTTTTAAGTCCCTGTGTCTGTCATATCATAACACCTCCTCATGAATGTGTTGCCAGCTTTCAGAAATTGTTAGTAGGCTATATGAGCGCATCAGGATTGAGAACTCTTATGTAAGTTTAACAGGTGACAATAGCAACTAGAAATAAAGAAACAAAACTTGAAAAAAATTCCCTTGTTAAACTCCCTGATGTTTTTCACCTCTTAACAGGGTGTAAACTGTCACATGCTTTAGCTTTCTGTAGCCAAACCAAGCCATTCTTTTTCTTTCATTTCTGTTTTTGTGAAGACCTCGAGGTTACATCTTCACATGGCAAGATATAAATAGCATCCCACTCAAACAAAGAAGAGACAAATATGGGAACTGAGGGATGTATAACCAGTAGTCTTAGTCCAAAACACAAAACCGTTTGAGCACCCAAATCAGTAGACATTTCTTGTTGTTTAGTTTAAACTGTGGGTAAAATATCACTCCAAAGAAAGTATAGCCAAAATGTTGTTGTGCCAATCTCCATTTCTCCCTATATGTCAGTTGAAATTCAATAAGAAAAAAAATGTTGAGTGCGCAGTCCTTTTTCATGCTGTGAGCAGTATGTAAATCATCAGGTCCTGGTACACTCTGCACACTCAGACATGTCAGCCAGAGGCTAGGTTAATTTAAACAAGGGCAAAGAACGTGAGTGTCAGCTTACTCATTGCTTGTTTCACAAATGGCACACACAAAGGAAGTCTTTGTAATATTGTTGGCTTTAGAATGACAAACATCAAAGGCATTTTCACTGAAGGAAAACAATTCATTAATCATTATATTATTGGGCAAGTGTTTCAGCTGCTGCTTAAATAATACCATGGACAAGTGCCAGGAAGAATGATCAGTCTTGTGGTATTGAGTTACAGGTAGTCGGTGGATTATGTGTGCTTTAGATGCTGCTTCTAAATGCTCTTAAATGTGTGTAGACTGTTAAACCTGATGCACCTCCAAACACATTAACTGCATTGAACTGATAAACCCCCTCTGTGCACTTTGTACCTCATGGCCATCTGTAGCTTCCTTTGGGGAGGGGACAGAAGAATCACAAGGATGGGGGAGGAGAGGGTAGGGGTCTCCTGTCACCGTCTGCCCAAAATCCCTCACCCTAAGAGAGGCACCAAGGAGGGTTTATCCCTCTGTGACAAACCGTCTGTCTGCTTAAAAGCCAGAGACGCAACAGCTTTCTCAGGCTAGAAAATCAGGCTTACTACTGTTGACTCCATATTCTGTCTGTAGTCCAACTGGCAGCGCCACACTCAGCACAATAAACTGTCGCTTGGCTTTTATCAGGCCTAACTGTAACCCTAATCAGCATCCGGGCTTATGCATCTCTGCCACTGGCAACTGTAATGTGTCACAGATTCTGTAATTCAAACCACAAAGCGTGTGCTGAAGGCCATCAGCATGTCTGATTGTTTGACTTCACTGGGCAGCCTGGTTCTCTCTTCTCGCTGCTGGACTGCTCAGTGGAGGATGGTGTGACATGGAGACACAGATGATGTGACATTTGGGGGCTGCACTGGGGTTTGGAAAAGGGATACAGATTAAAATAAAGAGCAAAAACCATGACTATGGTTACTTCTGTCTGCCAGCAATATATGTAGGTTCCTTTAAACATACTGAAAGAATATGTTCTTTTCATCAGGTGTGGGACTATGAGACCGGAGACTTTGAACGCACACTGAAGGGCCACACAGATTCGGTGCAGGACATCTCGTTTGACCAGACTGGCAAGCTGCTAGCTTCCTGCTCTGCAGACATGACTATCAAGCTGTGGGACTTCCAAGGCTTCGAATGCATCAGGACCATGCACGGTAAGAAGATGAAACACTATATTTTTTTTAGCATTTTAACAATTTTCAGCAAAGGTTTTGAAATAGTCAGGCATGCATCAAAGCTACTGTCCTTTATATCATTAGTGTATGCATACTCTTGTGTTTGTGATGTACCTAAATGTAGTTTGAGTGTGCACAGTGTTCAGGTGGTACGAATCATGTTTGTGGTCACATATAATGAAGCTCAAATTCACTGCCTTATTACCAAAATGACTGCATGTACAGCTTCTCTTTAACTGTTAACAGTAAAGAATTGGTAGAAGTTTTTAATAATTCTTATCTGAGAATCTACTGTGCCACGAGTCATGCCATTTTTGAAACAGCCCTTTTTTCTTACCACACTTTTAACACCCTAATTGCCAGTAAATGATGGCATCATGGTTTACATGGGCCCTCAGGCTCTACTGATTTAGGGTCCACTACGCAAATAATATTTTCTTGTCTTTAAACCTTTTCTAGAAGTGCCCACTAATGTCTGACTGTGAAGCAGACATGAATGAATATTGATGAAATAAATAAGCCTGCTTAGTGAAAAGACTAAAACCACTCTGGCTTTCTTAAATTGACACTTGAGTTGCAAATCCTGCATTTCGTCCAAGTGAGCTAAAGCTTTTACTGGTTGCCAGTCTTTTTTTTTTTTTTTTTTTTACTTGTTGTAAACGAGGGTGTGAGCTGCTGGCACACTTCCTCAAACACACGAGCTGCGTTTACTGTGCAGAAAATGCTTGTACAGATCACTGTCTAAAACCTTTCATCCAACTGAGCCTGCTGTTTAGTTTTGTTCTCCACCATTTCCCCTCCATCCTTCTTTTTACTCCCATCTCCATTCACTTTTAATTCATCTACTCAACCTTTCGTCCGTTTTTAATCCATTCCGACTTTTTTCTCATCTTTAAAAAAAAAAAAAAACACACCACAATGCCGACTGGTGAAGTAGATTAGTGACGATTTGGACAGCAGTTTAATTATCCTCTTCAGCACCAGATAGCACTTTTCTGTGTAACAGCCACCCATTATTATAGCCTTGTGGCATGTGTTAGTGCACACACACACACACACACACACACACACACAGTTAAGCTGGCCTTTTGGAGTATACTCACTGTTGTCTTCATCTGTTTAGCAGCTTAAATATGGCCAAGCATCTAGGTAATTAGGCATCTCTTATTCTCCATGGAACAAAATAAGCCCCAGCAAATTGGTTGCCTCACTTGTCATTTAATTGGCTAATTATGACCAAACCTGTTGTTTTTTTGGCACTGTTGGGTGCTGAAATGTGTAAAAATTGTGACAGAATTTTGATTCTGTTGGTTAAAGTGAAGAAGGAAAGATTATAAGGATCATGTGTAGCCATCTGAAATGATTAAAATCACAACCCCATGCTTGAAATGTTGTATAGGGTTGTGCTGTTAGGAGATCTTATAAAGGCTGTAACTCTCAACCTGTTATTTTGTTTTTGTCTTTTCTGTTTTCCAGGACACGACCACAATGTTTCGTCTGTAGCTATCATGCCCAATGGAGATCACATCGTTTCTGCCTCGAGGGACAAAACCATAAAAATGTGGGAGGTGTCAACTGGGTAAGAAAATGTTTTTTTTTAAACCAATCTGTTTATTATGTAACCCTCATATTGTGCTTTAACTCATCCAATCCACTCTGACAACTTGATAACTGCTTTGATGTTTTATCTCCATTAGCTACTGTGTGAAGACCTTCACAGGCCACAGGGAGTGGGTTCGTATGGTGCGGCCCAACCAGGATGGCACACTGATTGCCAGCTGCTCCAACGACCAGACAGTTCGCGTGTGGGTCGTGGCCTCCAAAGAATGCAAGGCTGAGCTGCGGGAACACGAACATGTGGTGGAGTGCATCTCCTGGGCACCGGAGAGCGCCTTCCCTACCATCCAAGAAGCCACAGGCTCCGAGGTAAAGAGCTGGTCTTGGTGTATCTAAGGTTTCTATTTACTGAAGTTACACTGTCGTGTTCAGTTTGAGTTCTTTCTCTCCTTCCTGGTGGGTCCAGAAGCCCAGAGGTCAATTTGCTTATTATTTGGTGGTGTCTGTTTAGTATATGGTAAATGTGGATCAGTTCATCAGTAGACCAGTGTCAGATCAATTTATGTTTGATCGCTAACTTTCCCTGCTGAGAAAGTAGTGGAGCTAGAAACATATTTTCCAGACTCTGAACCAATGAGACAATGAGAACAGGAAGAGTGATCATGCAGTTTCTACTGTGCTACCTTGTGCAGAAAGCTTGGCAACAGAGCTGGGGAACTTCCTTAAAGGATAAACTTGTAGTTATGTACCAAGACAAAGTATGTGATTCTCTTGGTGATAACTGCTGTTTTTCTCACACCATCAGATGATGGAGAGTGTGTTCCTTCTCTACATGCGTAGCCATGTCAATGGGCTCACATACGTCACTGCTCAGACTGACAGCCATGTGAACCGACCAGCTCAAAATGAAGCGCATACACAGGCAGAACAACCACATGGCCTAGAGTCATCCCAGACTCCCCCCTCATGCCTTGTGATCTCGAGTGTGTCCAATTGTAACCTTGACAGATTAAAACAAAATATTCCCTTGCAGCAGTTGTTCCAGTCGACCCTACGTTCATTTGCACAGAAGCTGATTTTTGCTGTTGTTTTTGTTTTGTATAACATGTGGAGAGGTTGCGTATTACTTCAGGGTAAATGGGTTGATGGAGTTGTTGACTTTGTACAGACCTGGAGCTGTTGCCACACAGATGTTTGCATACGTGCTGTCAAACTAATTGTCAATATAAAACATTCAGTTGCCCTGAGGTCATTTAAAAAAATATTCTATTTTTGCTTTTTCCAGTGTGCCTGACACGGCTGTTAAACGTCTTTGTTTCTGTCTTATTCACACTGAATGCCAAACGTAGCAGTTTATTAGCTTATTTTAGATGGGTTTTTACAAGGCTGCAGTACAGTCTCTTTAAAAATTCTGTACCTTAACCCTGTGAGCCCCAAGCATTTTTTATTTTTTTTTTTTTTAGTCATGTTTTTACTCACAGTTGCAAATTTTTCACTACAATATATAAAGTCCTGCACCTCTATGGAAACAACACAACCATGACTAGAAGTGAAGAGAACTCAACAATCTCTTTTGTGCAGTGTGTCACATTTATAATGCCATAAATCATAAAAAAAGAAAACAAGTTTAATTTCTTTGAGTATTTATATTACAAAAAGGTAAAAAGAAATAATAAATAATTGAATGTACAACATTTTTCCAAGTTCCCACAGGTGTTACCAATACTGGATATAAAACGGTGGCTATACATACTTTTTTCTCTGCTCTGTGTAAACACAGCCTGCAGTTGAGACAAAAAGTCCCTACATTTTTATCACGTGACTATTTGTCGCAGCTGAGTCACGAATGGCTTTGTGGTTGTGCCAAGGAACACTGATTTTTCTTTTGTCTTACAGAATCTGGTTACTGCAAATGGTTTATGTTTGTAAAAAATTTAAATAAGATTTTGTTGTTTATAAAGACGAAACTGAAAGTTGCACATGACTAGTTCAAAGACTGAGGGACAGTTGAAAGTCCAATGACTCTTCCTGTTGTACAGTTTTTAGCTCTCTTTCAAACCCATGGGCATATTTTGGGATTCAGAGGGTTAAATGTTATTTATTGCTGTGGGATTTACATTTTTTTGTATTTGTAGTCTATGATTCTATAAAAAAAAAAAAAAAAAAATGTTTTGGGTTCAAATTGTAAGACTTAATGTTTGTGGCAAAGACGTATAGTCTAATGAAAGTGTAAAACTGTCTGAGCATAAATTTGTAAAAAATACCAACAATAAATTACACATGACTGATATTTCATTTTCCTCCCTTTGTGCCCAACCAGTCCAAAAAGAGTGGCAAGCCAGGTCCCTTCCTGCTGTCTGGCTCCAGAGACAAAACCATCAAGATGTGGGATGTTAGCATTGGCATGTGCCTTATGACACTGGTGAGGACCATTTCATGCTAATAACCTTTAAGTAAACATTTTTTTCATTTGTATTTGTGTTTACATTTTCGGTTAAAATGACAAGTGTGAAAATATACTACTTGATTGATGACAATGAATTTGGTTGCACCTTCATCAGCAGCGTCTGTCTGTCTTCCAGGTTGGCCATGACAACTGGGTGCGTGGGATCCTCTTCCACCCTGGAGGCAAGTTTATTGTGACCTGTGCAGATGACAAGACCTTAAGGATCTGGGACTACAAGAACAAGCGCTGCATGAAAACCCTGTGTGCCCACGAACACTTTGTTACCTCTCTGGGTAAGCAACCGCTCTCCCTCCAAAAAGGGCTTCTTCCTTGTTATTGTTTGACCGGTTGGTCTTTTGAGGTGCTGCAGGAAACCTTTCTGCTCTCCCTCGTTGGATAGCGGTGTTGCTCACAAATATCTGCTTTAGAAAAAGGTTGAATGATTGTAAACGAGCCCAGCTTCTCCACCAGCGTCCTGAGGGTTGCTGGCAGCTGGGGTTTAAGAGGTAGACAAGCGCTCCAGGATTTTCCCGCCTCCCCCTCCTCGTATCTGCGGCTTTTCAGCAGATCAAGGCTCGGGAACTCTCTTGAGGAGCTCTTGAGCCAACTTTTCCTTGGCAAGCCGTTTGAAACCTAGTCCTCTTAAATCCTGCTTCAACCAAAGAGGATCGCTGTGAGCTATTGATGTGATGAATTCTGGTGCAGTGTGGAAAAGACAAAGCACCTTTGTGAGAAACCATTGAAAAAAAAGTGTTATTTTCCCCCCTTTCTGCAATGCGTTGTCAGGTCTGTTGTACAATACCAAGAGCTTTCCCCCCAAATGTGTCTGCTTTTCAAGTGGCTTAATAATAACACTGAATTTCCATTGATTTCCGTCATATTTTCACTCTGACTTTGTATTCATGTTAGCAGATTTCCGTTTGGGGGCGGGGGGCAGACAGGCATGTGTTTAGTTTTGACCTAACCAATCACTAGTAAGTGATTCATCACCATTTTTGTGGCACTTCTTTTTGACTCTGATGCAAAAGCGGTGACAATTCCGTTTTTAATACCATCTACTTGTTGTGATTGACTCACTTGTTTGTAGGACTGTGGAAACAGCAGACTAGTTTATACTGCTAAGAAACTGGCAATTCAGAATTCAATGTCAAATATTTACAAAGGTGGTTAATATGTATTCTCTTGCTAGAGCTGCTAGATTTGCTAGAGGTCTACAATCAGAGCAGTCCTCGCTTTTTGAGAGGGGGGGACTGAAAAAGACAGGACTACAGTTTTTAGACAGAAGGTGTTAAAAGGTGCTTCAGCGATGAACGGCATGACAAAAAAGATGTGTTTTGAACATTAAAGCATTGTTAACATATAGACCCCAAAAACACATGTATAGACCTGTAACAGTGCTTATTATGGGCTGTTTGATGTACCCCATCAAACATGATTTGGAGGCGACTAGCCAACCACACATGAAATAAAACTGCACTTGATTACTCATGTCATTGTTTGATCAAATACCACTCACATAATGGCCCTTCCACATATTCCATTTCACATTTACAGCATGAAAAGAACAAAAACTGACAATAAAGCAATCCTCTTAAGTATTGTGTGTTTGTACAAAGCCAGATTTGAGCTTATTCCTCTGTGCCATTAGAGCTTTATTGCTATCCAGAAACTATTAGAAACACGTCCCTAAGCTACACTGTTACTTTGGGTACTATGATTCCTTATTATTGAAAAAATATGGGCTCTATTTCTAATTTTTAAACAGCCTCTCAGACAATTAGCACAAACCATCTCCGGCAAGTGGTTACTGTGAGGCAGAAACACTGCATATGCTCAGTTTAAGTATAGTCACCCTTTAATCTGCTAAAAAAAAAAGTTTATCTGCATTTTTTGCTCCTGTTACATTTTTTCTCACTGTGGGCTCATGTTTGGCTGCAACATAAAGTCCTGTACCTCCATGGAAACAGTACAACCATTAGTAGAAGTTAAGAGAACTGAAAAATGTCTTTTGTGCAGTATGACACATGAATAATGACATTTTTATCATTTAGTTTACAAAAAAAAATTCAAAGTAACAAGTATAATGCTTAGGGAGACGGGGGGGCTCCACATACTATAGATATTTTACCACTTACATTTATAATTTGTTTCCATACTTGTGTCCTATCTACTCTGTTTAAGCACAACCTGTAGTTGAGGTCCCTTCAATGTGTAATAGTTTTTCAGTTGTACTAAAGACTGCAGAATGTTTTGTTTTTTACAGAATCTGGTTAAAGCAAACCCTTTAGTTTTTACTTCTTTTTTTTTGTTAGAAAATGAGACGTGATGTGATTTTGATGAAATATTAAATTCTCAGCTTAGATTTGGCTAATTTTTCTGATTGAAATCAAAAATCTTACATGATTTGTTCAAGGATGGTCAAAAACATAAATATCTTAGAACTATTAGATGTTTTTATATTTTCCGGCTCAGATAAATGGTTTAATTTTGGTAATTTCTTCTGAGATTAAACACGTCTTTCAAACCTGCAGGCAGATTTTGGAGTTCAGATTGTCACACATGTAAAATACACAGTCATGCTACGTTCATTCTTTAGTTATTTTGATCCTCAGAGTTTACTTCTTTGTCTGCTTTGTTCTGATGGCATTTTGTTTGTTCCACAGATTTCCACAAGGCTGCTCCCTTCGTGGTCACCGGGAGCGTAGATCAAACAGTAAAAGTGTGGGAGTGTCGCTGATTTGGACCTCGGAGGATTGGACCACCACCCTAATTACCCAGGCGTTCCTCTGGATCCCACATCCCCTCCTGCCATCCCACCTCCCCCATCCATCCCACCTCCCTCACCCCTTCACCTAACCTCACCCGCACATCTGTCATCTCCTCCGGCTGCACTCACCACCATGGTTATTTACCCATTGCGCTCTCTGGTCCAATAACTTTTGTCCTTCTGTGTAAATTATTCCTGGATGTAGATCGAGCTATTAAATGTTACACAAAAAAGTATTCTTGCATGGTAATCCAAAATTGTATACTGTAAATTTACATAACGTTGTCTAGAAGTACCATAGGTTTAACACGGGGCTGGCCGTCTGTCACGCAGCCTTACCGACCAACCGAAGGCAGATGTTTTTGACTGGGTGTAAAATGTAGGGCACTAAAAACCGATAATTTAAGAAATGACAGTGTCTTTATGTGTAAGATTTATTTTGTCTATTTTTTTATTTAGGATTTTTTTTTTCTCTGTTATTTCTCTCCTTCACTGTCGTAGTCTGTTGGTGCCTAGCTTGGTGAAACGTTCGAGAGATGAGGCAGGAAAAGCATATATGATGCGATGAGATGTCTGTGGGGCTTTGTTATTGAAATAATCTGTAGCTTTATAACATCACTTCTCAAGTGTGCATACCATTTCTCTTCATGTGGAACTAGGTAATATTTTAATGGCTGTATATACGAATGTTTCAAACTGTTGTCCTTGGACCTCGGGGGCTTGAAAACAGCTTTGTACTCTTGTCATGGTGGCACATGAACCACTGCTAGGCTTTAGATAAATTATCCCATTTAAAAGTAAAAGTGGCTTCGTGAACAGCCGCGCTAAGCTTTTTACAAGAAGTCCAATGTAGCGAGCAAGTTGGTTTCGCTGTCAGTGAGCGCCTTGGGTCACAGCAGCAGCATTACACCTGTTTAATCTCCTAGTAGTTGATAAAGACCTTGGGTGTGTCTTCCCTGTAGGAGAGGACTTCTTGTGACCTTGCATGTCAGCCTCATGTTTGAGCTGAATCGGTCACCTATGGTAGGGTTGGTTTGGTGCACCACCCGGAATATGTAAAGTCTGAAGATGCTCAGTTGTCCCATGGCGCCTCTGAAGGCTGGAAACACAATAAACCTGCTGAGGAGAAAACATGACGAGGAGTCAAAGTGAGCCCCCCGGGGTTAATATCTGGGATGTGCAAAGATCTCATCATTTCTGAATAAAATGTTCTGCTTCATAAAAAAAATGGTTTTGAGTACAAAAAAAGTCAGTTTTCTGTGAAAATATGAAATGTAAATTTAGCTTGTTATTAAGAGATTTGGCAGTTTTGTATTATAGATGGAGGTGAGATTTGGTGAGGAGATGCCAGCAGCAGACATGCAGAATGATCTGCTGGTGCTGTTTTGTCTGTAGAGGAATCTGATGCTGTGGTTGTTATTCTAAAGAGCTCCTCGCTGTAAAAAAAAAAAAAGAGGCTCCTGGATGGACGACACTAAAGCATCTCGACAGACAAACCCCACGGACCACTTCACACGTATGCAAACATCTTCTGAGTGGCTTTTCCTCAAATGTTCAGCTTTTGATCTTCGTGAAGCTGTAACTGTAAAATGATTTTTGGAGAGACTGGAAAGTAAATGTAATCCAGTCCATGCTGTAAGAGACAACCATTCCACTTCCCTGGTAGGACACAAAAAAATGAAACATCTTGCTTCTGAACTGTAGCTGGCAAGGTGATTCATTAATCTTGCACATCCCTGTTTTCACTAAAGCTTCGGCCATTTAACGATGACCGAAGACAACATTAAAGTTTAATGATGTTGATAAATGCATAAACCTATAATTTCTGATTAGCCTTTTCATTCCAATGCAGTTCTTGGCTAATAAAGAATTCCACTGCTTAACTGATCTTCTTATCTTAGCTTCTTTGCCAAGTTTTCCTCTTCCTGTGTGTACTGGATGTGGTGATCTGCTGCTCAAGCTCTTGCTAGTGGCTACTGTGAGCCTAATGTGACCTGTTGATGTAGCACTGCTGCATGTAAACCTGCACCCAGAGGCAGAGCTGTCCGAACATATTCTTGTAAGAGCTCAGAGCCCTCGTATCGGACTAATTGGTTTGAATAACGTGGCGAGAAGCTGACTCTGTGTGCTTTCAAAGTCGTGTGGCAATTTGGGAAATGTGCTTGTTTGTTTTCTTGCTGAGAGTTAGATGAGAATATTGGTACAACTCGTTTTTTTTTTGCTGTAAATATGAAGTTGCAGCCTGTTAGATTAACACCAGTATTGTAGACAGAGGGAAGCTGCTTGCTTGCTTGGTGGTAAAAAATAAATCAGCACCAGAAAAAACTCACAATTAACGTGTTTTATCTAGTTTGTTGAATAAGATAAAATGACATGTTTTATTTGTTGCTGCATTTTTTTTTTCTCTACTAGAATCAAACCCTGGTTTTCTGGCAACTTAAGTGCAGTTCAAATATTGTGAAAATATTCTTTTTTTTTTTTATGTGTAATTCCAACAAATTAAGAAAGTCATGAATAATCCTTGAAAATCAAAATTTTTAATTAAGAGTTTTTCCATTAAAATCGTAGTATTTGCAAGTTTTCATGTTCAAAAACTAGACAGATGCTGAAAATCAGACATGCAATGCTGAAATTGTAAAAGTGACATTTGTATAAGACATAAGAAAATGAGTCTTCCTAATTTTACACACATAAAAGTACAGATGACAACCCTGAAATACCAACTAGCTGCAGTCTCCCTGGTTGCCAGGCAACTAGTCTGGACAGGGCTAGGCTAGCTTTTAGCGGTTATTATGCTAAGCTAAACTAACCATCTGCTGGCTCCAGCTGCATATTCACTGTCCAAACATGAGAGTGGTATCAGTCTTTTCATCTAACCATCTAACAAAGCGAGTACTTCCCAAGCTGTTCCTTAAACGTGACTGTGTCCTTGGTCGCTGGCTGAGTTCAGACAGCTCTGTTCTTTGGTTGTAGAGAGGCTGGTTTTGTTGTGTGTGATGCTATTTGAAGGAGATTTTTACAGCCTCCTTCTTCTGTAAATGCAATGGGATTGTGGCAGACTAGGATGTCCCAAAGGAGCAGCCCTCTCTTTCAGGGAATATTAATGTCTCCCTTTGGTGTGTGCCCCCTTTACAAAGGTCTTATTTTTTTTTTCTATAACCTGTTTTCTCTTTCCAAACGTCTGAGGAAAAGACTTTGGTTGAAGAGAGAATCGGCTAATTTTGTAGTACAATTTGGCTAAGGAAGATGCCAATGTGTTAAATGTTCTAGCTGAAGCCAAAAATGGAGACATTAGTCCGTACAATCTGGTTTATCTTGAGAAATCAGCCTCCTCGTGTGTTGGTCCGACACTGTGGCCAACTGTTGAAAACGATAGTCTCCTCAGGATCACGCTATGACATGCCAGACCATAAAATGTAAATTTAAAACGTATCCCCTTCCTTGGTTTTACTCAAGGAAGGTGGTTAATCAGAGGTCAGGACGATGTGTGTTCTGTTTATTTTGTAATAATCAATAGGAAAAAGAGCTACAACACAGCTGCTGGTGTTGTACGCAAGTGTTGAAGAAAAATCCCCTTTTGCCATTTGCAGGTCCCAAGCAATCCCTGTGCTGCTCTGGTCTGGTGTGAAGGGACCGACAGCCAGGTGTTGACTGTCTGTGGGTCTCTTCCTCCGGCCTTCGGTCCCTCTGTCCTCTGTAAGCTGCCTGTGAACCACAGCCGAGGGCTTCAGACTGCACAACAAGCTCCAAACAGAAGAGCTCATGATGTTTTCGCCACTATGGTCTCACTCTTCACACAGCAAACTGTTAACAATATACCTGGATGTCATTATTGTTTGCGATATAATAAAAGAAGAAAATCTGCATCTGTGTGTCCTGCTTATTTGTTCGTAGCTGGGTTTTGTTTTTGGTTTTTTTCATCACAGTGAAGGGCAGTGTGTTTGAAATAAAATAATTGGCTTTTTTTTCTGTAAAAAAAAATAAAAAATGTACACCCAAAGAACAACAAACCAAAAAAAATAAAAAATAAAAATGACAAGAAGGATAAACATTTATAATAAGTGTTAGATAAAAAATCTATAAATGGAATATTTTTAAAGTTTGTGCTTGTATTTTCGTACACTGAGCAAAAAGTTAAGGGTATTCCTTTAGAAAGAAAAACTAAAAACAAAAGAAAATTTTAATTTGTGAATAAGGAATTACTGGTAAAATTTAATAATTTTTGATTTTTATTATCTTTTAACTTTGGATCTTTTCTGTCTATTTAATAAATTGCAATGGCATCTTAATCCTACAGTCAAGTAATGTTCACAGCATTGGCATAAACTGTCAAGTTAATCCTAAAAGGAGAAATTTTGCCAAAACTTTCAGGAAATGGAAGAAATCGAATTTTGAAAAAACAACAGGTGGAAAAGGGGGAAAGAAATCATAATGTTATTGCAGCCTATTATTTTTTGTTATTTAGTAAACTGAGCTAGAACTCAGTTCAAAGGTGAAAACATTTTAATTTTCATAAAAACACATCATATCTTTGAGGATGAAAAAGTGGACATAGCAGCTTCAAAAAAGTGAGAGTTCAGATCTGTCTTGAGATATTTCATATTGAAAGAATGGATGAGAAACTGTTCATTGATTGTCTACAAAAGGTACAAGAGATCACACTGATAATAATATGTCAGTACACAAGGCAGTATGACCGTGAGGGTATATTTTATTTTTTTTTAATGTGTACAATTTCAAAATCTACCCCTTTAGAATTGTTTGAAATCTAATTCTTAGCAGGCTTTTGTCCAGTTTGTGTTTTCATTTTCAGACTTCCTCAAAAGCTGGACGCTCAGTTTAGCCGTTCACATGGCAACCGTTTTAATGACGTCAACGCGTTTCGGCGCCGCGACGTGACGTCGAAGGCATCCAGGAAGAGAGTTGCAGAAAGTGGACCAACGTTTGAACAACGTGAGTTGTGTTTCATTTTTCTAAATTTTAGTAAAGTCCAAGGAGTAGGCGTCCGCCCGAGAATATTAACAACCGCCAGATAAACGCACAGTGAAGGTGAGCAGGAACAAGTGCTGGATACATGTTAGCTTCCAGAGTTAGCTTCAGACTAGCTCCAGGAAACCGCTAGTTGTACTCAGGTTTGAAATGTGGAAAAGATTTGTTCCACTCTCTCACGAAAGTGAAGTAACTGGAATGATTTAAGTGTGTTTAAGCGCATCACCACTGCTACGGAAGCAGCAGACAATTGTGTTGACAGAAGCAGTTTGTTGTGGATGAGAATGTTCTTATATTTCAATATTAGCTGTTTCAGAGTCCAAACCAGTGTCTGTTCTGTCAGATCAGCATGTTAGCGCCTGTTTTCTTCTCTAATCAGTGTTTGTCATAGCACTCTGCATCTGCTGCTGCTCCTTAACAACCCACACTCATACTGATGCTTTCCCCTGAAATCAGGTCTGAATATGTCTCTGAATAAGTCCATGCATCCCCGGAACCGCTACAAAGACAAGCCCCCGGACTTCTCCTACCTGGCCTCCAAATACCCAGACTTCCAGCAGCACGTCCACACCAGCCTGGCAGGCAGACCTGTGTGAGTACCTGACACTGTGCACTGTGTGTGTTTACTGATTCTGCTTTCCCACAGGAGACCGTTTCAAAGTAATCTGCTTTGTAAGGTATTGATTTTTGATCTTTGATCACCGATCTCTCAACACTGTCACTAGTGAAATGTTTGTACAGGAGAATCACTCAGCAGCTCTGGTCTCCTCTGAACTGCTCATTTATTGCACATACACTATGTTGTCCTTGTCTGCATGCTTTAAAAAAGCTGCAACTTAGTTTCACATTATTTGTATTAGCAGAAATGAAAGAGTGCAGGAATTGATGTTTGGTTACTTTGCAATGTTTCTCTCCCACAGTTGGAGACTCAAATATCCAAAATATGGAGGGATAGACTAGGGTAGTGATGTAGGTGCTCAGTCAAAGCTAGGTTTCATGAAGGTCCCAAGTCTGTGGCACCAATAAAGAAATGTGTTTGTAAATAGTTTCATCTTGAAAAACTTTATCTCAACCCCATCTAACATCTCTAATTCAGACTGAGAGCCAGGACTGATGGCACGTTCATGCCAGACCAGTTGTTAGGGCTGCAGCTAACAAGTATTTTAAAAGTACAACGTTATATCTATTATTGATACAAATAATTTAAAGGGCTGCATGTTGGCTTGGTGGTTAGCACCATTGCCTCGCAGCAAGAAGGTCGCCGGTTCACGTCCTGGTGAGGACACCCGGGAGTTTACATGTTCTCCCCGTGCAGCGTGGGTTCTCTCCGGGTTCTCTGGCTTCCTCCCACAGTCCAAAAACATGTTGAGGTTAACTGGTGATTCTGAATTGTCTGTATGTGTGAATGTGAGTGTGCTTGGTTGTCTGTCTCTAAGTGTAGCCCTGTGATAGACTGGCGACCTGTCCAGGGTGTCCCCTGCCTTCGCCCTAAGTCAGCTGGGATAGACTCCAGCCCCCCCAGTGACCCTAGTGAGGATTAAGTGGTGTATAGATAATGGATGGATGGATGGATGGATGGATGGATAGATAATTGACTATTCAGATTATGAATTGCACAATTACTAAATGTCTCCTTTTTTAGCTATAAACTTTTAAACTCAGCTTGAGGAAGTTTTAGGCATTTGCTAACTAACAATAAATACAATATTGGTGTACTTTTGTAATACTCACATGTCTGTGTTTGTGTGAACTGCTGCTCCAACACTGCACTGTCCTTAAACCACCTTTGTAATATTTTGTTGAAAAGGTGAACATACACAGAGTACACTCTCATGCACACTTCAAACAACAGGCACAGAGAAAGGGCTGATAAACAGACGGAGACATTGTTGCACCGCTAATTATTACAGTCATTTTGGATTTTTTTTTTCTGTCTGTGTCAATATAAAATTAAATGTTTCTGAATGAATCATGGTCATCTGTCATGGTGGAGCTCCATGCAATAAGCCACACAGATTTTAAATGTTTGAAAGAGTGAGTACTGTTATCGGTGACAGAAGTTTACATCCACTTGTAAGGACCATGTGTATCACGGCAGTCTTGAGTTTACAGTGATTCCTGCAAACTCCTAATTTTCAGCAGTTTGTCATATTTCCAAAAGACCTATAGTATAGCTATGAAAGAAGTGAGTGTTTTTGTGACAAAGATGCCTGTGTTTCAGTCATTCTATCAGATAATTAAGAACTGGTGGAGTCACTGGAAACTCAAGACTTTCATGACATACGTGGTCTTTAGTCTTAGACTTAGACGGACTTAATTAATCCCAGAGGAAAATTCAGGTGTTACAGCAGCATGAATATCCAACAAAGGGGGTAAGCAAAGCAAAAAGACAACACAGAATATAAGGGTAGGTTATAAGATGAAGGTAAAATAAAATAAGATACAAATATAGAAAATATAATATAGAAGGAAGTCAACAAAATTTAAAAGAAAATATAAGAGAGATACAGATACAGAATATGATATAATAATACACTGCTTAGATTGAAGCATTAAAGAGTCTTATTGCTGTCGAGAAGAAAGACCTTCTGTAACGTTCCTTGGAGCAGAAGGGTTGTAACAGTCTGCTGCTGAAGCTGCTCCTCAGATTGTCCACAGTTTTATGGAGGGGGTGTGAGGTGTTGTCCATGATGACCTGCAGTTTGGTCGGCATCCTCTGCTCCACCACCTCCTCCAGGGTGACCAACTGACAGCCAACAACAGGCTGGGCTTTCATGATGAGTTTGTTTAGTCTGTTGGCGTCCTTCGCCTTGATGCCTGCGCCCCAGCACACCACAGCAAAGAAGATGCCACTCGCCACCACAGACTGATACAAGTGTATTTACTAGTGTATGTAAACTTTTGTTCATGACTGGAGATTCTTTGGACAAAGATTCCTGTATTTGCTGACATCTCAGAGTTTGCCTCTATTCGATTCTGATTACCGTAAGTTAAGCCTGCAATCGATACGAACTGATGTCATATGCCTATAACACAATTAATTCTATTCATATTAGGTCACAAAAAGCAACTAAAATATGAGATGACATTTTATATCTGAACATGTCCAGATATTTAATGACAACCAATCAATTCTTTTTAAGGAAAAAAATTGATTTGTTTTCTACATATATTTTTGATCAGTTAACTTAAAGATGACATAGCTGGATGTTTTCTTTTTTTAGTATATTTTTTGCCTTTTTATTTACAGCAGTAGAGATAGACAGTAAAGGGGGAGAAGAATGGGGAGAGACCTGCAGCAAAGGTCATGAGCGAGAGTCGAACCCACAACCGGTGCACTGGGGAATTATAGCCCTGTTCATGGGTCATCCGCTCAACTCGCTGAGCTGTAGGGGCACACAGCTGGATGTTTTCATTTTATTCATTGTACTGGGCCATTGGTCATTGAATCGATATATGGATTAGGATTGATGGATTGTTATGTCCCTCATAATTATGGTTAGAAAAACTTGACTTACAAATATGGGAGAGCCTCGCATGTTCGAAAAATATGTTGAGCTTATGTCAACCAAATTTCCTTACTCAGGGATCCAAATATTGGGCACAAAATTTTTAACCTCAGACAGCAATAGTCTTGTAGCTGTGCTGAGATTCATGACACGAACACATGGACATAACAAACATTGGAATCTCCACTGTCCATAATCATGCAATGTGACACGACAGTTGTCCAGGACCAGTGGCCAGTCTCAGTTATGTGAATAGGAGCCAATCCCTGCAGCTCTCACATAGAGTTACAATGTTGAGGTGTCCACATACTTTTGGTCATATACTGCACTTATTTACACCAATATGGCAGCTTCACTCAGTGCAGCCCAGAGGAACAGATTCAGCATCTCATGTCCCGGCTGACTCAGTCTGATGTTGATGCTGCTCATTCAGCTTCTGGCAACAGCAGGAGGAGAAGCATCACTGGACAAATGATTAATGGGCTAGACATCAAAAGCTTTTTTTCTTGTTTCTCTCCAGCCTCTCATGCTGCTCTGTTTCTGCGCTAGTGAGACTTCACAAAGTGTGTATGAGTAGCAATTTAAATCGAAATCACAATTTAGCTGGATATAGGTTAGTGTGTCAGTCAAAAAGTGGCAATGAGCTTCCTGTGTTTCAGTCGAACCGGACACAAATTAAATGAATGCCTTTGTGTGTAGTGTGTATATGTGTGTGTGTGTGTCTGTCTCTCCCAGCAAGATGCTGCTTAGAAATGTGAAAGTCCAGGCAGGAGAACAAAGGAAGAATATGTCTGGTGGGATTAGTGGTGTTGACGTCAAACAGTGTGAGCTCATGATTGCTGCTGTGGGAAAGATACCAGAGCAGCTCTCCATCTCCTACTCGTCTGTCTTTATTCTCTGTGTATGTGCAGGTGTTGGAACTGGAAGCTGTGGTTTGCACACAGAATTTGTCCTGTGTCCTCTGTGGGTCACCTCTCACTGTCATACACCTGTTTGAAGTTTAATGCTTAGACCTAAATAATAACGTTCAGGTGAATCGAGGTGGATATTTGTGATTCTACTTCATTTTTACATAATTTAACCCTCATAAAGAAAACATGTTGATGAGTAGCAGAAGATGTTGGAGGAAGATATTTAAATCCATGTTAGTACAGCTTTGAAATGGGTGGATGGATAAACTGGGAATGATTTTAATGTTGTTAATATGTCGTTAGAGTATTTGGACAGTGTTACAGCAGGAAAAGCACAGGTGTAACTAGTAACCATTTATTGTTAAAGGCTACATTTCATCCAGATGTGTGCTGCTGTTTAGCATTTTCGTTCACTCACTGAGAAGCGACACTTGAACAAAACCATAGCTAATGTTGGTAGTCACACCTTTGTTGTGTCTGCAGTTTGTAAACATAAACAGCAGTTACAGTTTGAAGTATTTCCTTGGGTATTAGAAGAATTTAGTTTTGTGAAGAATGAATTTAGCCACATTTTTGTTAATAAGTTAATTGCTACACTTAATACAAAATTAAGTGTCAGTTGTTCTATTTTGACTTCTTAAGTGTTAGCATAGCCATTTACTATTTATTTGAGGACGACATGTCACTGTGCTCCATTTATTTTAATTTCTTTTGAAATGTATTAAAACCGTCCACTAAAACAAAGACAAAAGACAAAAACACGGTGACAGTGACTGTGGGAATTGACAGTTATTGTCGGCCTTGTGTCCTCCTCCTTTGTTTGCGCTGTGTGAAACAGGTAGCCGTCTGCTCGGTTAGGAAATCACTTGTTATTGTCTGTGTTATGCAGATGAATGCGGACGTGGTGTCGCTGCAGCGAGGCCGAACATCTGTGCACGACTGCGAACATATTGGTGTGGGCTGCTCTTTTGTGGTTGTGAGGTGGCCAGTCAATCATCTTATAGCGGGCCGAGCCTGCGTGTGTGGGCACGCCGTGAAACCCCACTTGATGCGAGTCTGTGACAGGTGTTAATTATCAGTTTGTAGCGTCTCTGTGTCTGTCTGTGGTTCCCTGACAGACAGACAGACAGACAGACAGACAGACAGACAGACAGACAGATGACAAACAATAG